GCATTCGACAGGATAAAAAGATGCTTCGAAGTCCGCACCGAACAAGTTTGAAATCAAAGATCAATGCGTATTAAATGAACCAAACAACTTAACCTAGCAAATCTCAGTTTCTACTTTAGTATTTCCGATTTTTCACCTTACTGTTTCATCGCGAACACGCCACAGTCCCAGCAGCCTAATAAGGTGTCGGTTGCTAAATGTTCGCAAGCAAAATACAGGTTGCGATGCATTTCAGGGAAGCTTTTTTCTACCGATTAGGGTCTATGTCTAATTGAACACGAATACCGGAGATGGTGAACAAAGCAGGTGCTGCAACGCGACCTTGGAACCAGTTAACTCTAAGACCAAAGCTTAGTCCTGAATCCGTTAGAACGATCTCCGGATGACCCTGAGATACTGAAGTTTTCCTCTATTTGACGCTGAGTTTAGATTACATTGGATGAGATTCTGAGGGTATCTAAAAAAACATCAAGGTTGACAGGAAACTAGGAACCACGTCGACAGAAGTGAACCAACCACCAACGAAATCAATCACCCAAATTTTGATAGGAGTCGCACTATGTTTACACCCAGAGATAAGCCCAGTCGAAGGTTACCGAGCAGTTTGTTTAAAACAACAATGTCAAGAGTATCCTATTTTCTGTGAATTCTGCTGTTGGATGGCATACATTAACCCCAGGAGACAGTCCATCCCCTGGTGAGATCAAATTCATTCTTCATGGAGGAATACTGTGATAGTTAAAATCCCAAGCCCACAACTTTGCACTTATCGGGCCCTCTCGGGGAAGGCATGTTTAACAGTAGCCCGGTTGGATTAAAAGTCTCGCTTGATATCTTAATTGCTTCCGAGTTCATTAGCATAACCAACATGTGAGGCCTATCCAAAATTGTCTGTAAAGCTGGCACGTGTTCATGTAGGGTTAATGAAACATGCAGAATACTTTCCAGTCTGTGCAACATCCCTCCAAGATTTTGTTCCTCTACATGCCACATTTCCAACGGTGCACAATAAGAGGTGATATTGATGCCGGATAAGTAACAGTCACCCTTCGAAACCAAAATACGACCACGTGAAAAGGGTTGACCTAGATATTGTAATTCCTGTGGTTAACTCCGTTAAACTGCGGGCAGGCTTACATTCAGCATGCTCTCTCACCTAAGCGCCGAGAATGGGAGTGCATGGTATTAGTGAGGTACAATACGATTGAAGTCACCCTTTAGGAGCATAGCTGTCGTTCAGGTGGAAACACCACGGCCTAAACACTTCCGGGTTGTCCAAGTCTACACAGGGCCGGTCGAAAAGCCAGGATTGGGTTCCAACCATGGACTTACCTGTCGGTAGCTGAGCCCCTTAACCGCTGGGTTGTAACGAGCTCAAATAATAGGTAAAATACTACGCTACCGCTACTCAGAAGAAATGGAGTTCACCCCATTCAAAATGATTATGCCTTCAAATAACTCCAGCGAAACCCGTACATCTACCCAGCGAAACAAACTACGAAAGGTTCGGCAGCTGCAAAACAGTCCGTCTCATATCCTAACTACTTTCCCGTACGACCAGAGAAGATGACACCCGAACCTCCAGCTAAACTGAACCAGAAGTAAAAATGTGTGCAGCACACAAAACGCAAACAGAAAGTAGAAAGCCTTAAGATATCAACTTGCAATCGAGCACAGCGAGTCCTTCTGCAGGAATCTTGAGATTGTCCATTCCGTTGCGAGAAGTTCGATGAGACCAGTTGAGGCAGTCTTTGTGTCAGTGGACGCAGACCGTATGCGAAAGCAACAGATTTAATGCCCAACGAATATCTTACTCCAAGAGTCACCCACAAATCCATTCAGTAACTTAAGACTGTCGTCTACCGTTTGGCAACCCTAACACAAACTTATTTGTTTCTTCAGTACACCGCAACCCCATCACTGGTGAAGGTATGAAAGAAGAGGATTACTCTGACAGCGTGACGTTTTCTAGGCAGTATGTCCTCAAGAATCGACAAAGACGGCTCAGTCACACCCAATCACCACAGAGAATTCAACAACCAGACAGCGAAAAGGTGGTCAACAAACCAATCCCTAGAACCCAACAGACCACACGAATGCTAGAACCGAAAAAACGATTACCTGTGGAAAGAACTGACAGGAAACCGAATCCTACAGAAACAACGGATAGAACAGTCGATAAGACTCCAGGTAAGTTGGTATGCTCGCAACAGCCTATTCATCAATCATGTGAAACGCCAACCAGTCACATCAGTTTTTATACCACGGGGGGTATTTTAGGACGAATGTCCTATAATGTGATTACCTGATTTTGACATAAATGGCAAAACAGGAAACTGGCAGATGTAGCATTTTATCAGCATTGATCAACCGGTAAGAACTATTCTAATGAGAGTTTTCGCTTCCACTTTGTTTCAAACAGAGAAGAAAGTAGTTCGACCTAAACGCATGCCAACGCAACCAACGGCAGTGACCGAAAATGGAGCAAACGAGAATGGAGAACTTAAGGTTCAGACACCACCTAACCAGACTGAGGTGGAACCAGCGCAGCCGTTTGAGATATCTGAGCCAGCCGGTCTGGTAGAAGAAGTACACAAGCCAGAAATGGTTGGCAACCATGAGGAGCAATCGGCAGCACCAGCACAAAGCGTCGTACATGCAGAACAAGACGAACCAGATTCTCAACATGATGACGTATTCGACACCGAAAGTAGTTCTTAATGCGATCTATTCTTTATAATCCTACAAAAGAGGAGCATTCTCATACACATTTCTATGATTAAGAGGATATGTCTAGAAGCCTCTATTCGCGATTTCGCTGTCCAGTATTGTTCTCCATGGTATCACAGTGACTTGGTGACGGACTGCAAAAAAGCATGAACAATGCTGGAAGTTTTGATGTTTTGAAATTTTAAACATGAGAATGGCTTATTATTTACAGATCAAGTGGTTCTACTCGTTAGTCTTCTGTGCAGCTTGTTTCGCCGACTAGACAGCCATACACACTTTGTCTTACCTGAAAACAAGTCTCATAAATAGCACAGGAAACCCATGTTCATTTATTTCGAAGAAAAAACATTCAAACATGAAACTTGGCGGACAGATGCTTGCAAGAATTATTAGATATATTGTACCGGGCAGACTAATGGTGAAATGGCAATAGGTTGCAATGGAACTAGCAAAAAGACCGTTTTATTAAACAATCATGTTCTTTCCACGGTGCTGCGACTCATGAGCACTGGGTCTGTTCTCAGGACCGTAGACTGCATGAATTGCATCTAAAACAAAAGAACGAGATGAGAATAAACGGAAAATTTGAACGTGCACCAGTGAGAGACGTTCACACACTCATTACACCTCAGTGTATTGTAAACGAATCGAGGACAGACGCAAAAAGTCCTCTCCATAAACGACAGACACTAAAAGTCCAAGTAATTGTAAACGATCCACAGCATCTACCCTCAAATCTTGTCCGATTGCTTCGGTGTCTGTCTTCTGGAACAAGCGGAAAAGGTTCAAAACTATCTTGGATTGTCTTGGTTCCACTCATGAAACTACCAATTCATGTGAACCACAAGAAAACCATATAGCAGCGTGTGGTTGGAGATGTTCCGCTATTTTTTATTTGGGAGAGGTAACTGTCCAGAACGCAGACAGGGTTTCCATCACGAGATATCACCAAAAGACCATATCAATATGAAGTCAGGGGTACCTCACACGGAACAACTCTCCGAAAGGGACTAACACGGGGAAGGGAAGCAAAGTTGTTCCCGGGAGCGATCTCTCTTTAGATCACGTAATGGTTTGCGGCCAACGAATGAAACAGCCTCTTCTATTAGAAACGGAAGCCTAGTATTGAGGGGAAGACGTTTGTGTCGCAGTAGTGTTAGGAGACAAGGAATAATAGGAGTTGATCAATTTACAAGAGCACTTGTTCCACATCATTCCAAAAACGATCTTTAGGTGAGTGTAGTAACCTGCCCTAAATCGTCAACTGAGCAGTAGGGCTCTTACGCTCAGGAACAGTCCATAGTCACGAAATCATTATAAGCTAGTTCTACAGTTAAATTCTACTGTCTTACACTCTATCAACCAAACAAGGCTAGCCATGTGGTTTTTGCTTCTTCGACAAATGTCCCGAAGCTTCCATGAAGTTTAATTATAAGTAAATTGTCACGCCTACTCCTGCCTTTTCACAGTCCTCAAAGATAGCATGGACTTGAAGATTACATAAGCGATATCTCGAAGAAGTAGTAGATCCTAAAAAGGCCTTTTCAGGGTCGGTCAATCCTGTTTCGTGTGAAAAATCAAATTATTACTCACCATTCGTAAGGTAATTATCGACGTCTTTTCGTCTGACCGTAAATTAACTGGCGTACGCCCCACTGTTAAATAGTTAGCCCACATGATTTCCTGCCTGCGTGTGTGTGTGTGTTGTAATTATCGTGGTCTGAGGTTTGGTGGTAATAAATCAGTCTCAAGATCCGTACAGGACAGCAGTCGGAGCCAGTCCCTACACTCAGTAACTTTCGTAGTAAGTATCGGATCAAATATTCTGTTCGACAGATATGTTACCGCAAATTAGCAGGCAGATAACAAATAACGCTACACAGCTATGGATCAAAAGTGCAAGGGTCCATGGCAGGAAGCCAGGAAACCCGTGTGAAATGGAGATACGTTCAAACTTCGCCTTTTCAATGGAAACAGAATAAAACAGTGGTTGAAAAACTGAAGATGGGTTGAGGTAAACTATCCTGTGGCAAAGTACAAGAATTGGTGGGCCAAAATAAAGTTGCAAACCGAATTGCGTGTTGCATGGAGAGAGGCGTCTTGGCTGGGGAGATGACTGGTTTTCCGATTGAAAGAATGACGGTGGCGATCTACAGACTTCTGCAGCCTATGGCTTCGCTGTTCCCCGCCTGCCTAAGCCATTCAAACTGTCAAACGAGTGACACCTTGCCGATGACTATCTCCTACTAACTGCGAATGGAGATATCATTAGGGTAAAGACACACCGCAGCCATCCACACGGCGAATGACGGGCTATCCGTTACTCATCCGTTTGCAGGTGACAATGTGACTAGGCATGCCACGCTAACGGTCGTCCTCATAGCAGACACAAAGCAAACAAATAACCGTGCTTACAAACCTTAAACTAACAACCTATTTCGACCTATAACATGTATCATCATTAAGTTGGGAAACCCAGTGGTTGGGTGTCAGTCATGTCTGTGACAGATGACGAGTGGGTTGCTTAGCACCTCAAAAACTTGAAACGTAGAACCCTACAGTCCCTATCAGGAGGTATAGAAAGTTTCCCGCCGGTGTTTCCACCGCTCTCAAAATTAGGGGCATCAAACACCCACAAAAAAACTACGGAAATGCAGATCGAGCTGATCACTATAGTGTCAGTTATTAATTCGTACGGATGGTACAGTGGTCCTCACCACCGTGTTTCTATTGCACTTATGGGTTCGTCGTCTGGTTTGATGGAGAGCCTATGTGAGTGCAAAAACCGTAGATGTCATGCTCCAATTACGCCAAACAGAAAGGCAAATACCACATTCAGTGATGAGGAAAGTTCCCATAATTTTGGCTCAATAATGTCGACAAATTTAAAAATTTGCAGGACATATGAAGCGCATGAGCAAACACCGAAGTTCTCTCAATGCTACGTGACCACTTTGATGACCCAGACGCTGGAGCTGAAAGCAGTAAAACAAGGAAAATGCGACTGAGCAAACATTGAATAAACCTTACACTCTGATTATGTGGATCCCACCTCGATTTGGTATCAATAAAATGTACCAAAATATGAGTGTGGCCACCTAGTGTTGTCAGCTCCTAGTAGTAAGAATGTAGAGTCAGTTCGGCACAAAATGACTTGACAGCACTAGTAAATTTGGGGAAACGGACTGAATCGAGTGAAATTTGGAAATGGGATCGAAAGTCGGTTAATTGAGGTTCTAGTGTATTTAAGTGGGACATCGGTTCCTTAGAATCGGTACCAGGCTAAAAACAACATAGTAAAATCCTGATGCGTTCCCAATCAAATAAAATTACAAAGTGTAAACCCCGAAGTCAGGAAATCCCTGAGGAATTTTTCTCAGATCTGTTGAGGAACGGCTTCCAGAACTATCGCATGATATGACAGAACGATCCGCGTGCCAGCAAAATGGATAGTAAGAATTAGGGCAGGTCACTCACTTAAGGCTGGCCATGAGATGTTGAGCACCGAAGGCCACAAGGCCGAGAAACATAGGTAAAAGGCCAAGCAAACTGACCCCACCAAGTTTCCGTTTTTCTGGATCTACAAAATAAATCAAAGTAATCCTTTACAGTCCTGCGAAGGTTCAACCAAACTGCGGCTACCAACAAGATATATAAAAAAATATGATGAACAGTGCTTACTAATGAATACATTAATACATTCCAGATAATCGAACAAAAGAGCGAAATAAGCGGTGCATGTGGAAAGAAACAACATAAAGGACATTTGGTAGCGAATGATTCGCCTTACACCAACAAACGAATCTGATTACACAGGCGGTCCAAATACAAGGCTAACGCTGAGGTCCATTCGGACAACCCAAATTGGGGTTCTGACATTCAGTATGTCAAGGTAACTGGATGGTTTATTTTTTGTCTCTGAACTAAGGACGTGTTCTGTGATTCTGACACTCCTGTTAGTTTATTTCAGGGTGACTTCTTCAACTAGACCAGGTACTCCATTCTAAATATCGCCAACGATGAACTTACGATGGGGTCCCAGAACGGCTGCAGATGCAAAGAAATCTTAGAGAATGCCTCCACTTGTTTCGCGAAATGCCAACACATAAAGAATGCAAAATTCGTCCAATGTCCGAAATTCCGTCCAAAGGTTTCTGGCCCGAGGCCGCATTAAGTATGTGCCCACTCTTAATGCAAAACATTGAACTTCAGGGCTTTCATCTAACGCAATGCTGTGATCGCACGCAAGACAGTTACTGGTCGCTCTGACGCTTCCATCCAGTCTTGGTTCAACAAGCTGGAGCAGTTTGAAGAAAAACCTCTAACCGTCTGTGCACCAAGTGCTCAGAACAGCAATCCAATCAGAGTCCCCAAATATGGTAACCTCGTCTGTTTCTCCAGAGTCGTGATTGGCCGATAAATCTGCCCCTGAAATAACATAAACCATATGGACCTAGCAATTTACATACAGCCATTCTCACTCGGCCGACTACGCTTGTTCAGGAAATCCGAAGCGAAAAGTGTACCCAAATGTTTGCAGTTTCAACAATCTCCCTGCCAAAAAGGATGGTCGTTAATCTGGCATCAACAACTGAGTATTATCTTCGAATGAATAGCTTTCAAACGGTCTGCAGCCACCATTATCTTAAATTGACCCCACATTAACAGCTACAAATCCATGAGAAGCAGTTCGTTCTTTGAGGAGTCAGAAGGCTACATAGAGTGACTAGCCGCATGAAGCTAGATACCATTCTGATACCACTCTGGAACTATAAGAGTCGAATGTACAAAATGTTTGTCGCGTCATTGAAATCCGGCTAGTGAACACGTCATTCCTAATTAGTTGATCCCTGCGATCCATCGCCCATGCAACATCACAGCCCTTACTTTAGCACGCAGGTGCGACCCTCATGATTCAGCGGCACGCCGTTTTGACGCCAAAAGTGACGCAAATTAGCAAACGTGATTCGAACCCTTGAGATTCGTACACTGTCATTATCAGGTGCATTTCTGTCAAAGCTAATGCAGTTATCGAGGTATGTGAGATTCCCCAGAACCTCCAGTGATTTTCCTTGAATTGTGAGGAGTATGTCCAGGCACTGTACGTTCTGAAGCACGACCTTGCACTTTGAAAGTATTAGGCGCATGCCGAAATATGGCATGACGGTAGTCAGTCTAGTAAACGGGGCTTTTGCTTCTCCGTGGTCTTCGAAGATGAAGTCAATGTCGTCTGCGTACTCCAGATCGACAAGTTTCTCACCAGCAACAATCTGAACACCGCGGTTTCTCAGAACTTCGAGCGTTCGTCTTAATATTCCCACAAAAACAATGCTGAACAAGAATGTAGAGTGCGCATCATTGTCTGACATCACTCTTGGCAGGGACGTTTTCGGAGGGATCACCGTACACATTCACACACCCCAAAATATGTGAATATATATATATATATACAGATTATGCTCACAAAAATCATTCGGTTGTAGCACCCTTTTGGCGCCTAACTGCCAGGCCACCCGGAGGCAAGAGGGGCAGGATAATGTCAGGTTGCCCAAGCCTAGATAGATGAAGCAGAGGTTGGGTTCGAACCAGTCAGTAAATTTGTGATTTAACCACTGAGCCAGCTCCTTCTAGTCAACGATTTCGCAAGGAGGTAACCAGAAGACGGGTGTCTGATTATGCAGCAGGCACTTAAATCGCGGAAAACACTCTGCGCCAACAACTGTGGTGGCTCCGCCATGTGCTACACATGTCGAAACACCGTCTACGGAGACAAGTATTGTTCTCTGTGCCTACTTCAAAATGGAAGAAACCACGAGACGGACAACATATGACTTGGCAGGATGTAAGACAGATTGTAAGACAGAATGTAAGCACCTCAGAATGCTGGCCAGAATCCAGCATCAGATCTCTTCCCTCAACCGTGTTTATGTATGCATAAAGGAGGACGCTTTGTTGGCGGGGTAGGATGCTGCATAATCCGTTCTGTACAACCATTTGCCCTATCACCCAACGATCTCCCGCTTTAGTCAGCAGGTTGCACACATTACAGACAGTGTTCTTACGTTAATATTCTTAACGATACGCCCGGAAGGGAAAACTATTAAAGCTAGAACCACTGCACAATTTGTACACGGCTTAGAGTTGGAAAACAAGGCCCTAAGAAATACTTACCACCAGTTGAGTACCCTCTGAAGTACAGTATTCGTCCAAGTAAGTAGACGACACCACAGACTGCAAACGATCGCTAACACAGTTGGAATTATGTAAAATGCAATTACCGGATATCGCAAACCACCGATGAATAGGGTCATTAAGAACGATGGCAACATTTCAAGGCTAAGAATGGGGTCACACAAAAAACAACCTACTAATTTTGATGTGCACGTTGAATGCAATTGAACAGATTGTTCGTGGGGTGGTAGAGCATTGGGTACTAGACTACAGTTAGCTGTCTGAGGAGTAGATACTTGAACGTTGTGCTCCTTGCGGGCTTTCATAACTCGCATGGTGAAATACGCATTCAAAGCCAGGGAACCAGCTCCAACTAGAACAACTCCGCCATAATAACGTGGAATGCATATAGGCAAGCTGGAAAGTGGCGGTGCTAAAACCCGAGACAACGTCATTTTCAGGCGTGACGATGTGGAATCAGCGCTCAGCTCGACTGGACAAGCGCACAGTGCTCCAAATGTTGAACCCTCATTGGTCAAAAGTTCCGTCACTGAAATACGGTAGGCAAGCTTCCTGATCCGGCCTCTATGAACAAAATTACTTTATAAGATGGAATATATGTTTATGATGGCTGAAGGTGAAGCGACAAGAGAAAGCCCGAGGACTACACTAGGGTGTCCATTGGACTGGTATTAGGTATCTTTCTTGTTTAGGCGATAACATCAGGGGAACTAAAAGCCTTAGAGTGAGAAGGATGCTCATCAGTACATCCAAATTGTCCTGTCTGGAAAATGGAAAAGTCGAGTGTAATCGTGCAACTCTGTAAGACGAAGGCCGCATGAGACAGAACACCTGAAAATCGGTCGGTCAGAAGGCCAACTCAGACGGAAGAATTCAGGCGGATTTAGGAGGATGAGCGTGGTACTTCAAAGCATCCATGACATGGGGTTGTATACTACAAACTTGGTGATCCGACGCCTTGGTGCGACGATAGCAATAATGACTGCGCTTGTGTAAGCTCACCAGGCAGTAGTGTGCAGTATGCACACTTAAGCAGCACCTTTGTAAACACCTGACCAAGGCCGACCAATCAGCCTGGAGTAGGCCAACATCTATAAATGAGGGGACCACCAACAATGAAGGTACTAAAAGCCCTTGGTGAATTTTTCCATATTATGATACTCCATGCTCTTCTTATTCGTTCTTCTTGCCATGGTGCCCTAATCGCCTGTTAGTTAACTCATCTGATGGAAATCCGAGGAACCGCGACAGTTTGTTGTACTCCCCCACCGCATTTCCTAGTGAGGAGTGATCTTCTGTGTAGCCCTTAACTTGGCTCCAGCGATAACCTATTGTACTCTCTGTGCAATCCATACTTTGATCAATGAGTCCAGTCATCCGTGGCCTTTCAAATTTCATACAGGACACCCGTACATCGGTCATCGATTTAAATGGCTACGAGTACGCCAAGTTGTTTTTCAACGTTGCAAACATAAAGCCCTATCGATTGTTTAGCCTTAGTTGCCTTAGTTGCTAGACTAACCGCTCCTCCAGATCTGCAGTTAAACGTGGCAGAAGGGAATACAAGATTTAATCGCAAGCCACCCTGCTCTGTCTTTTTGAGCATGCAGATATATCGCCGCATCACGACCTCTCGTTGGCTTGGAAGTCGACTGCTAGTGATATTCTTGCGTTTAAAAGGTAAAACCTATCCCCGCGTGCAGTTTGCAGTACGAAAATGTATCCGCGCAGCGATTGGGTGCAATTACCCAAGCCCGAATATTTGCCCCTAAGTGATGATTAATTCCAAGCAGTTTGATGGTGACTATCAATTTGGGCAAACATTGCCAACCGGGTTGCAAACTGATGGGACCGTAGAGCTCCAACGCGACCAAACTCACCTGCATATTCATCCGCATGCCAATTCGGTACCGACTGGAGAACCATCTAAAATCCAGCTGACTCCGTTTTCTGATGGGCCAACTCGGGGCCTGGCATAGATTTTTCGCCACCGTTAGCTCTCCAAAGGTACTAGCGGATGTTTAGAGTGTTGGTCAACCTTCTTCATTGCACGCTCGACTTCTGATCCATTTTGTGGGTGTTTCGTCGCCAGTGCCTCATCACACTGCGGAGTTGGCGCTTGTCTTTTGGCTCAGTAAGAGTAAGCCTTTATTTCTGTGTAATTACGTATCAATAATGGTTAGTAGAACCATAATTGGTTCTTTCCGCTTCAAAAAACTTCATTGGCAATCGATTAACCGGTTGTCAACCGGGGCTACAGCAAGCAGTGCCCCGCCATGTTTGCGTGGCGTAATGTAGTGCTGATGCATGAGTTTATAGGACCAGGCAGAAGGAAAAATAACGAAGCGGTATGCGCTGGGCCTCCTTTCCTTGAGCTTGTGAAAGTGCACAAACACGACAAACCAAACTCGCAACTGGACCCTAGGAATACCAATACACATTACTTTTTAAGTCGCAGCAGCGTAAACAAAAGTAGCAGTTCCATCGAGGAATTTTGAGGGTAGAGGCAAATAAGCCCACGCGAAAGTCAATAGCATAACTTAACCCGTTGAAGAGTGCCGCCGGGAGATATCGATGTCTTGAGAATGACAGTGTTTTATCGTCTAATAATTCATAGTTACTAGTTTCAGTATCTAACACGCTATCCTGCAACCACCCAGTCTGGAGCATTTATTTGAGTCAGCGAAGCCTCTTGGTCGTCTGTCACGCCCAGTTGGTAAAAGGCCGTTTTGCAATACGAATGGGTGTACTGCAAAGGCAGCCGGCAAGCTGCGAGTCAAGCGGAAAGTCGGCAAATCTGAAGAAGCTAGGTTGACATGTCGCCAAACAACAAACCTTCCGCGAAGCACCGGCTGCCCAGTGCTTTTTGTCTAAGGAGGCAGGTAACCATCTCCCAGTCACCATTTATTATCTTGAACACAAACATAAGGTTTTTAAGTTTTTTACGACCGTCTTTTGGTAATTCGGTGGCTAACCAAAGGGGAATTGGGCGCCTGCAGGGCTTTGCTAAACTATGGAACCTCCTCGTGCGAAGTGCGACGGCCTGTGGCCGATGAATTCGGCAATTCCTTCGAGGTTCCGACCATCTCTGTTGAGCAAGCGAAGCGTTGTTGGGCTTTATTTTTGCGGATGCCACGAGTATGTTACTGGCAAAACTTTAGGAAACCGTGCCCTTGCTTGTGTTGTAGTCATGGGATGGTCACCAATGTCACATGTTTCTCCGGATGGCAGCAGATAGTGCTGATTCAACTCTTCCCAGATATATTAAACGTAGAGGGAAATAGCACGACAAACCGTTCTGGGTAAGCTCTTTGTAATCCGCATGCAGCTTCAAGCATACACGTCCCCGAACAAAGATGGAATGAGTAGCTGGTATGCGGTTAGGGATGTCTTCCTAGAAAGCGAACAGTTTGCTTCCCTGTGCGAGCATCATTGAGTGACGATTTTTGACATGAACGATTTGGCGGCACAAATGAGGGTATCGAAATTAGTGTTTCGCTGCGTTGAAATGCGTTCCCGTTGGAAAAGCCATCGGAGAGCTCGTGTATATCATGTAAAATCCATGAATTTTGGTAACAGACACACTGAAAACAGCCGACACATAATCCGCCGTATGGCTTGTCTGGCCAATGTCATGCGATAGACTTTGTGTTTATCCCAATACCAGCAATATCTGCAGCTGTGACGCTTTACAAACGCACGAATTGTCTTTTACCTTAGGGCCCACTGGTTGTGTATAACCCGCAAGTGGGTTGTTCACGCGCAATCCGAGATGATCCATTCTGGTAATGCAAACAACGGCCGTCTGAAGAACACCAACGGTCACCTGAAAAACCGGTTATCCTGTTTCAGACAAGCTGGGGCATGTCATGTGGATGGTGTCCCTGCACGCCGGATGGCTCAAGCGAGAATGGGAGATGCATAAGTCATACCACTGTGACTGATGGCTACTTTCTGAACGTTTCCTGTTGAATGACTACGCATAAATGTTCCCTCGTTTTGAGGAACTTGGGACCACGACCATCAAGACTGCACGCACTATCACAGCGTTGGAACAAACAAGGTGAGGTTGATTTATGTTAGCTAACTTATAGTCTCTGATGCAAACATCCAGGTGCTCCCTGCGCCGGAGAATGCACATGCCCATTCAGCAGGCAGTTTCTCTCCCTTGACTCGATTTCTCCTCTGTATTTAGACACCCGTTGGGTCAAGTCAATAAGGACCAATTTTTTGTGGACCTTTTCTCAGGTTGCCTCTATCTTCACCAAAAGTGGCTGTCGGAATACAACTTACCGCAACGAGGTGTACCCCTGACATCTGTTCCCAAGTTTCCACTGGCAGCACTCGACGGCATAGGTAAACAAATGAGGCAGGTGTTGGGCAGCCATCAGGGGATGGAACACACGAGGTCTACGGCAGTTGTTAAGCAGTTGCATGTCCCGGAGCTAATCCTACTGCGCCAAGCCTCGACATCTGAAACTGCCGACCTGCCGTGGGTGGCAAATAATAATAATAATAATAATGTTTATTCCCGACTTGTGGGTGGCATACCGTCTGACATGATCATGCGTATTCAGTCAGAATGGGGAATGACTGGGGGATTTGCGGGTAGTGGGGATTCCGCGAAAAGGGGACAATGTCATGAACAGCGAAAAGCATTCGATAAAATAATAATAATATGTTTCTTTCGCAACTTGTAGAGAACAATGGGCACGAGGTCCGACTAACTCAAAGACTCAACCCGCTGACATGAACTAAAACAGAAAACCATTGCTGGCCACGAGTGGCCTTTGGAGGTTGGGTTTAAGTTACATCGGCTGACCATTCCGCAACGGACTTCGGTGAAGTTCCTCAAGACTCCGTCTTAGGATCGGTCTGATCTGCGAATCCAATGCGCTTTCATGTCTAGGTTTGCCTTGCGTGGACCACGCAGTGTATTGGAGTTGCAAGTCCAGATAGCTTCAAAAGAGTACTGAAGCTGCAAAACAGCGGCTATTGGGCTAGTGCCTTCTACCTAATCGCGGAGAATACTCAGCGAGTACTTCTGGACCAGGCTTCCGAGATTTGGGCACGAACCTTATTAGGAAAACATTTTTCTCATTCCGGGCGGGCCACGTATGGAACAACCCTCCACTAACAAGCTCAAGTAAAACCAACTTCAGATGTTTTTATTGGTTCTTTGCTTTGGTAATATCCGCTATAAAAACTGGGAGATGGGACCTACACATTTTTTTCCGGATAATAAGTGAACGGAAGCCGCTGAACAACTGGGGCCAGTTAGACCTGGAAAGCTTGGGTGGAGCCAGTTCTCTGCGCATCAGTGCGCATGCTGGGTTACGACCTCAATACATGATAGCTTGAAAAGTGTCATCACCATTAGCAGTAATACATCAATGATGCATATTGGTGCCTTAGTCCTTTACCCACGCATGCCAGCTTTCTAGGAATTTTTTTTCGGAGATTGATACTTGACACTGCAGCGCAGTCCTGGTATCCGGATTGAAGTAAGCTCGAGATGATTAAGTGTTTAAGGCAAGAAATTACTGGCCAGAAGATCCGTTATTCGAATCCAACTCGTGTATCCCAACTGCTCCTGTTTGGGTTTGAGCAACCAGGCAGTGTTTCACCCCTAATGCCTTATTAGGTTGGCATGGGAACTAGGCACACAATGGGTTGCAGCTAAGCGGCTAGATATTGTAGATGCCGTGAGCTTAGTTGTACCTGGATCCCGTATTCTGGTTTCGGAAATAAAATGGACGTTCGTCAACAAAATACATGCTGATCAGCTCACGCGGTGAAGGCAGCGAGATAAGAAAGTGAGAAATGAAAATTGAATGCGAAATGGCCGGTGTGAACGATAGTTTTGCAATCAGTCATTTTCCCGGACCAGCTGGATACAGACGGGGCAGGTAGAACGGTAATTTAGAAGCGGGAAAGAAGAAGAGTTGAAAATGATAAATATGCTAAAATAAAAGGCGTCAATGGTCGCGTCCATTCGTTCATCGAGAAAAAGACTACGATCTCCGTAAAAACTGGCCTGTTCTATCTAGACGCATCGAGCTATTTCAGATGTTTGCGCGCTGATATCCGCTCCATGTGGTACTGCTTCATTTTAATGAACGTGTGAGTAAAGTACACCAAGTGATAAATCCGAGTGGTTTGAGATGAAACTCATTGGATTAAGATGTTTGGAAGCGTGCACTTTGCGCCACCCTTATCTGTTATCACCATCATCGGCGGCACAACACCATTGTTCAAACTTGATAGATCGCTGCCTTTCAGCCATAATTTATTTGAGGGCTATATTGCGAAGAAAACGGTAGGTGTTCTCGGAGAATGAACAATAATTCTCTCCGGAGACCAGCGCCCACAATAAACAAAAATCACGTCAATTGGAAGAATTTTGCTCGTGCGGGCTGCAGATCCAGCGAACGCATACTTGATTGGTCAGAATTTCAGCCAATCTGGATCGAGTATCCTTAGCTCAACCTTCTCGGGTTCTTACGGGCATTCCGGCGTGGTCACTCGGGCTATTCTGCGGTGACCCTATAAATATGGTTGTGAAACTCTTCCTGTCACCATAAAAGGGTGTCTTTTGATATACCATGGTGGGTGGAGCAGGAATCCAAGAACCGGCACAGAGTTGCACGACCGTCCAGAAGGCACTACAACTGGCGACGACATGAATACACGATGTCAATTTCGGCAGAACAGCTCCGAGTAATTCTACTGCAACAGTAGAAGCACACGCGATTTTCGTTCAATCTCTGATGCACAGTATGTCGGTGAATGTGACAAAAACAGTTGGGTCTCTGTCTTCCTCTAAAGATGCGGCTGCAGGCTCGCCTACTGAATTCAACTTCGATACCGAATATGGACGAACTTTCGAAAGTTCGTTCAAGGAATATGGGGACGCCATTGTCCCT